AGCTAACACGACAAAAACATGGCGGATGGCGTGCACAGTAGGGGTCCCTTTTTGAGTTTTTTTTGTCTTTCAATTTGTTATCATGTGGCATTTGATTATGCGTTTTGAATGGATTATGGCAGGTGTTGTTCAGGGAGAAATGGTTAAATCTTGTTAATTTTATATGTCGCCATCCAGGAATAGCAACAATAACAAAACATTTAGGTAAGGTAATGTAAATCAGTGACTTGTAAGAAAATTAGGGTTGACTGGGTTGGAGATTCCTTAGGAGACATTCTGTTTGATTTTAGGGTTTTTTATGGATTCCACTGCAAAACAATAAGGTTATGAGCGTATCATGCCATAATTTCATTTGACTTTGAACATAGGTTGGTCAAGGCTATCCGGTAATTTGGCAAACGCAACTGTAACTCTTTCATTTTCAAATCCCACATGCATCAGCTGAAATGCAATTGAGAACCTGGTGAATATTTAAAGTTTTTGGCAAATAGGTTGTATGCTTAGGCTGAGAAAATTGTTAGTATTTATTAGTGTGGCTTGTTTTAAAACAAGTCTATTAGGACAAGTGAACTATTACGGGTGGCTTAAAATTAACATTAGTGATCCCAACACTATCCTTGAAGCCAACTCATCGGTCTGTAAATACCAACAGGACTATTTGTCCATATTTTTGGGGGTAAATGCAGAAAATGTATGGTGGTTAGGAAGTAGTGGTGGAGTAGTGGTGATAAGAAGTGATAAGCAATCATACGGTCATACCAATCTTCTGATAAGACTTCTACAACTTTTATATGGGAAGCTCGCTCTCAGATTAAATAATGTTGCCGTTGATGCTGAGTGTCTTGGGGACTTACGTTTTGTGATAGTGGTGGTAATTCTAGCTATAGGAATGTCCCAGTGAGTAATGGTGGGGGAAGAGTAGTTTAAAAATGGCTCAGCCTCTGACCATTTAGTAATGTTCTCAGTCAGGATAACTGCAAGAAAATCATTACCTTTAGAAACAAATAACTCACATTTTACACGCCTTAAAGGTTGTAGTAGCCATAATCAGACCTGGGGCAAATTACTTTAAAAGGTAAGTGATTTAAGTCACAATTATTTCTTATTCTTTTACAACAATTACAATTGTTAACTTTTTCGTCCAGAGATTGAAACCGATAACATTATTTTTACATGCGCAATTATGATTACTTTTCTATTGTTTTCATTTAAAATTGCAAAGACCTAGCTATTTTTTTGTTTTATTAGAAATTTAAAAAATATTTTAATAACAAACCTATGCAAATAGGAAATATTTAGAAATAGTATTTCAAATACTTTTGTTTGTAATGAAATGAATGTATCACATAAGTGTGATAATACAAAGCAAACTTTTTTATTTGAATTCGGTACGTATGTAACATACAATTTCATGTAGCAGTAGTAATGTGTTATGAGTTACAATTAGAAAACTCTTGGGCAATTTTAGCCTGGATGTGCATGTTGTAGTTTTATCTGTTTGGCTGACACCACAGTAGAACACTTTGTCGTAACCTACTTTGTGCCGGCTTGAAGTACAAGTAACTGTTATTAAAAAAAAAGAAAGAAAGCCAAAACGTTTGCATAATTAATGGCTTTTTTTTAAAGTTAATTATTCATAAAATTGGCGTGGTATAGGGTTCTTGTGAAGAAAATAAAACGAGCATTTTAAGCAGAATTTGAAGCTCATAAGTATGAACATCTTATTCGATGACAAGTCACAGGGCGATCAAATGTTGCTGCTAACGAAAAAAACTTTTTTTCTTAGTTTTTGCCCAAGGGTTCGGAGGCTTTTGAGTCAATATGAGTTTTATAATATGCATTATTAATTATTGTGCAATATTGGGGCATTAGCACTTCAAATTCAGAGCTGATACATTTTTCACCATGACATTATGGATAGAAAACTCAGCCATTATGAAAAAAAAAACATCCATTACGAGAAAAGTCGGGCCGTTATAAAATTCAGACATTCTGACTGACTGTTTGACATAGCCATTACGAAGCTCACGCTAAACATTTAAAAAATCCAAATGCCATTTCGTTACTTATAATAATTAAAGGTTTTCATAATTGTACTTGTTATTGGTTGAGCTGATAATTAAGCTTGAATCCTTTGGCTTTATAACCCAATGTCATTATTCAAACAAACTCCAGTCATTGATATAATTAGTAACACAGCTTTTGCTGTTGCTAAAATAGGGTCAATAAAATTAAAATTTATAAGTCGCTGGATAAGGCATTTTAACTGGGATCAAAATATAATCCTCTAGATGCTCATTGCGGTTCAGCTAGTAGATATGTAGATGTGTATTTAGATAATGCATTAGTCTCAAAAAGAAAGCCTCATTCCGACATTTGAATGGAAAACCAGTGCATGCTGGGAGGATTACGGTTATGTTTTTGAATACAGTAATAAGAAACTCTTTCGTGAAGCAAATTAGTCTGCAGTGTAATAATGTATTGGTTTAAATTTCTAATGACTATTTAATGCATCTCCTTAATATTGGCCCTGAATTTCAATATCGCAATGAATGAATTGCATTGGGCAGCTCTGGGAGTAAGAGTAAAATATGTGTAAAACTTTCTAGGGTGGTTAGTCAAGTTTAAAACCTTTTTGAAAAAAACTCGGGCATATATTGCTGGGAAATATGGGAGAATCTGAGTAGCCACTCTATATTGCTTTATATAGTGTGACCAGATAAAAATACTTGAAAACTCCTATATTAGGAGAAGGGCAGGGAAAGAGTGTAGTATTCCCTGCGTAAACCCTAAATATAGTTGATGGTTCAATGGAGTAGGGACTTTCTAGAATTTTATCTCTTACATTCTAGTCTTTATGCTTAAATGCCCTTAAAGTATCAGCACTCATAATCTTAAATTCTTTCTATATTACACGATATTGGCGTATAGAAAAATGTCAGCCATCTTGGATTTTTCGGCATATTGGATTGCTTTATTCTTATCTGTTTTTGGTGTCTAATTTGTTTTTTACCTAAACATGCTTTGTGACAAATTTTAGGCTTTTCCTGTCTTTAAAAGTTATTTGATATATCATTCCATTTTATGAAAAGAAATCGGCAGTTCCCTGATATTGGCCTTAAGAAAATGTTCGCCATCTTGGTTATTTCGGCCATACTGGATTGGCTTTTTTTTAAATTCTGTTTTTGGTTCTAATTTGTTTTTACCTAAAAACATGCCTTTGTTGACAAATTTCAGGCTTTTCCTTTCTTTAAAAGTTTTATTTGTATATATCTCCATTTATGATAAAGAAATTCGGCGGTTCCTATATTGGCCTTAAGAAAATGTCCGCCATCTTGGAATTTTTCGGCCATATTGGATTGGCTTTTTTCTAATTCCCTGTTTTGGTGTCTAATTTGTTTTTACTAAACATGCTTTGTGACAAATTTTTAGGCTTTTTTCCTTTCTTTAAAGTTTTATTTGATATTCATCCATTTATATAAAGAAATTTGGCGGCCATTTTAGGTGGTCACTTTAAATGGCCATTTTAATGGTCAAGATCAAGTTTTTTTCAGTTTGGTATCCACCTTTATTTCGGATTCACCATACCTTAAATAGGTAAGATACACCAAGATACCACTTGTACTACAAAATGCCTCTAGCATTCTTATAGAGGGGGCCAAATTCTCAAAATCAGTCCTGTCTAGTATCTACTTTTGTTATCGTAAGAACAAATACATATATGTCACTTCATATCATTTAAGATACGAGAGTGTTTTCTTAATGTTTGCGTTAATTGGCTTAATTAATTTTTGATTTTGCTGCTAAATATTTTAGAACATTTTCGTGGTATGATACAGGTCCCGGTGCTTGTCTTAATTAAAGTATAATTTATTGTTAAATCTTATTACTCAGAATTAAAAAAGCTTATACATTCAGATATTTCATGTTAATACTCGACATTAAAATAAAATAAAACTAATAACGCAAATAAAACACACACATAATAATTTAAGAATATCGTAGAAAAAGACATGCATAAACATCACATTATCTCAATTGAACAAATAATGTGTATTTTGTAAACAGTCAAGTTAAATGAGGAAAATTGAATTCCCAAACTACGTCCAAAAAGATGGGAAATGTTTCAGGTCGATTTGTTTTATTCTTTTCATAAAAAAGTAGGTACAATTGCAAAATATTGCTTCAATAATCTTATGGTCGTTTATCGGAAAAATTGCGACATAGCATAGAATGTTTCTGATATCTGACACTCTTGAATTGTTCAGAAACAAATTATTATTCTACGTTCTATTTTAAGTGACGTTTTTGGGCATAAACCAGTCGCTTTTAGGGCATTTACTACAATTATATTTCTTTCATTTAACACAAAACATGTTTAAAAGTGGGTTCTTGTTTAAAAATAAAACAATTTATATTATGCAGTACAAATTTTATAATTGGCTTGAATTTAATTCTATCCTATCTTGGTTACATATGATTTTAATATTAAACACCGCGTAAGCATAAATATAATAATTTGGTTTTTTTTTAATGGTTAAATAGAGCAATACTGTTTAGCTACATTTAAACCTATGTATTCTTTTTCTAGAGAAAATAATGTTTTTTACATTTTTTTACAGCAAAAGAACGTGAATTTGATTTAGCTATTTAAAATAATGTTTGTCTACTTTTTGTGAAACGTATTCATTTGAGACAATTTGAAACTATAATAACACTTATAAAAAATACTTTTTCTTGTTGAAGCAATTCCATTTCACATTACAGATCATCTTAAAAGCGTCAGAACTACGAACGAAAAACATCTATTTTTGAGTGAATGGAAATATTTTTTGAAGTCGACAATCTTTATCCTCGCAGTAATTCAAATTTTTTTAAAAAAATATATATATTACGCTTGATGCTATGAGTTGTTAGATTTATTTATCAAATATATAACGGTAGTTTGCAACAGTTCTTTCAATAGGAAACACATAATACAAGGGTTTCAACGATGCTAAATGGGCGTCCTTGGCCGAGTTGTTAAGGTCGTTGACTTCAAACCACTTGTCCCACACCGCTATGGGTTCAAATTCCGCAAGGAACTTTGGACTCTTTCACGTGAGAAAGCTATCTACTGTGTCCAGCTAGCTTATGGAACGTCGGTGGATCTATTCAGGTGACCGTTTGGGCGTTAAATAATTGTACGAAGGTATTCCCCAACCGGCAAAGCTGGAAAGTCACCATATGACCTATATTGCGTTGGTGCGTCGTAAAATCCAATCAAACAACCAAACCAACAATAATTCAAAATCGGTGCCAATATTAATGAAACGTAATGTCAGTCAAGCAAGTCAGTTGTTTTATTATAGCTTCATTTTCCACCTGTTAAGATGTGGCACTTGGCCGTTACAATAAAATGATTGACTTTCAAATGTGTTAACTTAGTACTTTTTAAATTGACTATCTGAATAAGACATAAGTGAACTGAGATTATTCATTATGTCTTTGTATTTCTGAAAAAGGAAATTATCAAGGAAATTAATACTCAATAGATTTTAATCAAAATTGACAAGCTGTCACGTCTTTTTGAAGATAAGTTGATTGATTCAGAAGAAGAATACATTAGTCTGAACTTCTAACGTTAGGTAAATCGAAAAAACACAATTATTTACAGAAATAGTCATTAAAATTTTAATAGATTCTTACAGTGATTTATTCAAATGCAATTCAAAATCACTTCTGTCCTTAAGTTTTGTTACTATATTGTCGAACTCGTCGTATCTTACTATATCAGAATCCAAAAATATAACCTTATGAGGCTTTGCCCTTGTGTCCAGTCCAGGTACTTGTTTGGTGCCTTTTGGGTGTCCTGCTTGGGTGTGTCCGGGGGCGGCGTCCTGTGAACGTTGCCTTTGCCTTGTTGATCTTTATTCTTGTTATTTTAAAGATTCCAGTGACAGGAACACATGGAAAAATAGAGGATAGATCGACCTTATCGAAAGGAATAGAATATGGACAAAACAGACAGGTAAGCTAGAAATAAGTCATTAGATGTCATATGCAATTTTAAGAAAATTGCCGACAACTGTTATTATGGGGTTAAGTTGTACCACCCATGAGAAAGCCGATCATGTTGTAATCATAATTATCTTGATTACAACTGATGTGTGTAGTTTTGTGCAAAATCTATTTTCCGCTTCGTTCGATAGGTTACTCGCTCTTTAATTTTTCCAAACAAAAGTAGTAGCGAACTTGCAACTCGAAGCTGGCCAGAATTTTTATGAAGTTTCATAACCTCTGATCCCCTTTCAAAATTCCATTTTATTTAGTTCCGCCCATTGTTTTCTCGTTTAGGGCACACGCTTTTTATTACTTGAGGACCATAGAATCGCCCGCTTTTCAATGGAATGGCAGCTAACGTGCCACACATTAAGGGGTTCCAGATAACCGCCAAAAATAACTGTACACAATCTCGGATGTTTCAAAAATTCAAAAATTTTAAACCCAGTTCATGTTAAATGTTGAAATTCTGCTAAGCCGGTCGGGGGCATGGATAACGGTAACTTGCAACTTACGCATTACCGTCCTGAACAGGCCAAAATCAAAAACCGAGCCTCAACCCATTTCAATTTTTTGCCGGGTGTTGGGTTTCTTTAGGGATTCTGTATTTACTATTTTAAATGATCAACACCGTGTTATTTGTGCCGTGTGGCGGCTGGTAAAAAGTCTCCGGGCGTACCATTTAATCAATTTGTGTTATATTTTTCGATAAACCTTGAAGAATTCGTTCAGGCACGAAACATATTGTGGCTTGTGGTATTATTTAAGTTTTCAAACTTTTTGGGGCATTTCTATTGGGGGTTCCAAAAATTCCCTATTTGAAAATGTTTGAACACCCAAAGGGGTTGATATGTTCCTGCCCCTTTAAATTTGTCTTTTGACGTTTTATCTGAAAAAACGCAGGCTTCAAAACCCCTCTGACCCCCTTTCCCAAAATTTCCCATTTTTTTTATTTCCGCCCTTTTTTCTCTTTAGGACCCCGCTTTTTTTTTTATTTGGGACCAAAAACGCTGTTTTTCAGGGAAATGGCACAACGTGCCCACTTTAAAAAGGTTTCCATGATAACCGCCAAAAAATTTAACCACACCCCTGCGGATTTTAAAAAATAAAAAATTTTCCCCGGGTTAAAATTTTAAAAATTTTTAAATTTCGTTTAAAGGGCCGGTCTAGGGGCGGGAGGGAAACTTGCACTTTAATTTTAAACCGCCATGAACAGGCTCAATCAAACCCGAGCCTGCAACATTTTTCAATTTTGCCGTGTTGGGCTTTCTTTAGGGATTCTGTATTTATCTATTTTAGGATACGACGCAGTTCATATTGCTATATTTCCAATCGTTTTTACCTACACGTCAATAATTTATACTCGTTTAGAGTTAACCAAAACTTTTAAAATATAAATTTTTGAATATTTTCAAAAAAAGTTTATTACAAAGAAATGTTTTTTATGAAAGAAAATAATGAATTTGTGCGAAATGATACGACGCAAGCTGAAAAAATAAGTATATGATACGAAAGCAGTTGTGCATTTTTAATTGTAGTTCAGCTATAAATAATTGCAACGTCCAACAACATTTCTTGTTTGCAATTTTTTTTTTTATTATTATGAATGCGCTCAAGTGACCCTTGATATACAACTTTAATTAAGTCAATAGTAGAGGTCTTCATTTGTTACATACAACTTAATTAAGTAAATTGACGGCGCTTTTAAAGGTTTCTTTAAAGTTGAAAATTTTGGGGCTGGGGAGTTCAAAAACTAAGGGGGGTATTAATATTTAAATTTACATTTTTTATAAATGAAAAAATGTTTCAAATTCCTTTGGGTGCCCTCTCCTGGCCCGCTGTTTTCAATCGAGACGGGCCCTTTTTTTAAAAAGGGAAAAAATTTTTTAAATTTTAAAAAAGTCTCTTCAAATTGGGAATAAAAGGTATGTAAAAATTCCCAATCCCTTTACCATTTTTAAACATGAACTTTAATTTTAAACAACCTTATTATTTAAATTGTTTTTTAACGACCCCTTTTTTGAAATTGATTTTCTTGATACACAAAAATGGGGGCTTTATTTTTTGAATTTTAAATCATTTTCGAAAAAAAGATATTCCCTTTTTTTTAAATTTTTTTAAAAATCCTATTAAAATTTGGTAATACTCAAATTTTTATTTTGCAATTTAAAGGAAATGCTTTGTTTTAATTTTGAAATTTTATATCAAACAAACTTTTTAAAGAAAAAAAATTCAAAGAAAAATAAGTAAAATTCCACGTTTTCCATAAAATGGCAAAACCCCAATAAATTTTCCCACTAAGTTAAACTGCAAAACAAATAGTTTTTCAATAATAAACTTTTAACATTTTTTAAACTTTAAATTTTTTTGTACTTATTTTTGGAAATTGAAAAAAATTTTTTACCTGAACCATTTTTGGGCCCCAAATTTTGAATTTTGTTAAGCATGTAAACGCTTCAAATAGGGTTGCGACAAACATCAGGTCGGAGCATAAACAAGATCTTTATGGATAAACTTATGGTCTTCAGTGAAACACCTGTTTAGAGAGATTTCTGTGTTTTAAAAAAGAGTTTTTTCGTAACAATATCAACAATCACTATTATATGAACTTTGAACTGTTAACTGCTGATTTAACTTCGGAACACTTCGTCTATTATTCCTAATATTAGCTTATCCGGACAATAGCGAAAATAGCCGATATGTTTATATTGTTCGCTGATGCAATTCGACTAATCAGAAGTTCTCACTTTCCCGCCATTAGAACAATTTGACAAATCTTCAACACCTGCAAAAAGACATCTCGCATACTCCTTTTTAAAGAAAAAAAAACTTGTATTTGCAAAAATAACCCCGTTGAAAAGACTGCCAAAAATACAACTGCGTCGTATCATTTCGTACAAAAACATTATTTTCTTTTACAATAAACATCTTTTTTAAATAAAAATTTAGTAAACAAAATAAAATTATATTTTGAAGTTCATTGTAAACTCTGAAACGAGTATATAATTGATTTGAATGAAGAAAGATGGATAAAGCAATATGAACTGCGTCGTATCCAAAAAACTTCATAAACATTCTGGCCCGCTTGAGTTGCAAGTTCGCTTTACTTTTTGTTTGACAAAATAGTTGTGCAAGTATACTGAACGAAGCGAAAAATAGTGGAGCATGTTACTACATATATCTGGCTTTAAATCAGTTCCAACAAAAAGAGTTATAAGCAAAAACATACATTTTCGTTCCAAGATAGCGGCTTTTGTTTACATTTTGTAAGATACGACGCAGTTTTTATTCCCAGCCCTGAGACTTTCCACAGTTTTATTTGTAAAATTCAAATTGCATAGCCTTTACTGTAAGCCTCTAGGGTTTCTTGCAAAGATATGACCACGTCGTCAGATGGCACGATCAACGCCATACCGATACATCTTGTCACCTTTTTAGTTAGAACTGGAAATAACTTAATATATGAATTAACGTTTTATCAAAAGAGGCTATGATCCAACTATTTTAAGACATATCGCATGCTTAGTTTCCCGACCCTTTTACAGTTGGACACTTCACTTTCCAATTTTGATTATATCTTGACGGATCAATCGTGACACCTTGATAATGATGGGACATGTAAAACGAATCCTGTACTGAATGGACATTAAATCTTCGTCCTCTGCCCTTGTTTCGTCGGCCTTGTAAAGTCATTTTAGTGCTGCTCTGTCTTCTTTAAAGACATGGAGTATAGTTTTTATTATGGTTATTGTGGTTAAATTTTAAGTATATCTACTTTACTATTTATGTGTTTTACTTAATATCACAGTTTTGTAACCATAATAAACTATAATAATTTCGCTTGGCGGAGATTAATTCTGTTTTAAAAGGAACATGTTTGGACTTAAAGTGAGGTTTGTTGCACCATGAACCGGTTAAATCTCCCCTGGAGTGCTTATGTCTTCTGTTTTTTTGCCCGTGTGCCCTGCCATGTTGTGTCCAGCGTGGCTCCTTGCTGGTGTTCCTTTGTTAAAACAGTGTGCACAATCTTAAAGGTCTTCCAAACTAAGCACAATAATGTATTACATCTTCAAATTATACATTATATCCTCAATTAATTGAAATTGTTCTTAAAATCCGGCAATATTTAACTATCAAATATTTGCTAATACATAGACAAAATAGGCGTTATTACCCTGAAAACATTAACAGTCAAATCAGATCGGAAGTAAACAGACGTGTAGCCCTAATATCGCTGCTAATTATGTAAATTTAGAATGGTCCTCGTGTATCAAAATCGAGTCAATAAGGATATCCGGTTTTATTTATGTCGTTTACAAATTGAGAAGAACACTTGCCTGACAAAAATCAGACAATGTCCAGAGAAAAACCGGAAAATAATCCACTCTAAGGAGTTCGCCTGATTACTTAAATGTTGATTTGAATAGACATTGACTGGAAATGTCCGGAATTATTCATCAACATACATTCATCTACCAAATATTTACATAATAGGATATACACACAAAACAATTTACGAAATATATAAGCACGCACAACCTTTCTTTTTTGAAATATGAATTTGGTTTATTAGCGAATTCCCTACTTACTCGGCATATGAATTTGATAGAATAAATGAAACAATTATATTTCAAAAAATAATACGCATTTTTTGTTATGTACAATACTTTGCCTACAGAAGCGAATTTCTTTCGCCACTTAACAATATACTTGAATATTCTTTAATTGCAAAGAATTGACATTTATTCTTTAAAATAATCTGGTCATACGAAGCTTTTTTATAAAAAAACAAACTTGGTTTACCACATCTACGCTACTGTTAATGTTGAGTGGTACACTGAGAAATCAACAATTTTCATATTAAAAATTCATATATTTTTTATAGTTTTTATCACATTTTTACTAGGAGTTATCTGTTAACTGTAGTTATCTGTAAACTGTAGTTAAAACATAAATTAACTTTTTAAATTGCTAAAGCATTGTTATTAGCCAGATTGTATTGCACTTTGCCCATTGTATATGTTATAAGATCAATTGATATTTGCGCCCGTGTCTGTCTGTGTTTACAAAATACTGCTTTGGGATTGCTACAGTAAACTCCGCTTATAACGAACTCATCGGGACATTCAAAATATGTTCCTTATATCCGGAGTTCCTTGTAAGCATATAGCGAATTAGTTCCTTGTATCAGGAGTTTTTATAGCGAACAGATTTACATATAACGAACTGATTGTTTACTATCTTCCGTCATTTTGAAGAGCATTTGATTAAGAAAAATTAGTCATTTATTTCTATTTATGGCACAATACCCGAGATTGTACTTTTTTGGAATTTTTTATGAAAATCCTTTGCTATTTCAGTTTTAGTTTTACTCCCTTTCTCAATTTCTCATAAAATATCACATTTTCTTTCTAAACTCAGTGCTTTTTGTTTTCTTTCCATGATGAAGAATAAACAAGTTCTTCGATTGTTCTTTCCTTTTATATTGAAGATCTTCTATTATATTTTAATGAAAATATAGATTTATTTTCAATTCAATCAAGCAAACTTTGTACTTTTCAATGGATTATGCCTACAAGCATGCGTGATTCTGTATAAAACCGATTATAAATGATCATAATTTATTTACTCGAGCAAAAATTATTAAAGAAAAAAAATATTACAATAAAAGGAATAACTGTTTTATCTTGGTGACAAGAACTCATGCTAAAAGTATCCTAAATAGAAAACTATTACGTACTGATGCGGAATCTATTTACGGACAGCCGGTGTTTTAGTGTTCGTTATAAAAGTGTAATTTTCTGTACTTTTAACTAAATTGGGACTTACAAATGAGTTCCTTATAAGCGATAATTCGTTATAACCGTGTTCGCTGTAACCGTATATTTTTGTATTAAATAAAGAAGGGCAAAATTCGGGCCAAAATAAATTGTTCCTTATAACCGGAAGTTCGCTATAACCGTGTTCGCTATAAGTGAAGTTTACTGTATATATATCCATCAGATAATCTTTATAACGAATTTACATTATTTTATTTGCGTTACGTATTTTTATATATATTGTGTAAAATCTGTCATTATTTGAAGTAATACGAATATATTTAGCGCAAATTTCTCAATATAAGAGATTTTTAAAAAATACGAAAAAAGTCAATCGAAAGTAAGAAATTTCCGCGACCAACGTTCTATCGAAAACAATGGAAAGAAATAAGAAAGGCCAATTCACAAAGAGAAATTATACAGCATGGCGGCAGAAGAAATTACAAAACGACCACGATTATTGTTTTTAGTCTGATTCTGAACCAGAGATTAGATGTATTGAAGGAGAATCTTGGAAACTTGGAAGAAGATTGGTGGAATGGGAGGTTCTGTTCGAAAATTTACGGTACTGTAAAAACTGTCGCTTAGGGCCAGTAACACTGTCAGTCAAAACAATAAGAGGCGAACTTCAAAAAGGTCTGTCTGGTTATTTATATGTCGAATGTCAAAATTGCTGTTTTGTGAATACTGCAGCCTATGGAAAAACACATAGAACATCCAAGAAGCAAGGAATGCCATGCTTTGTTGTGAACACCAAGCTTGGAACAGGTATGTAGTTGGTTAATAAACTGAAAGAATTTGTTCACTGGTTAAATACTAAATAAACTCAGTGCCACAAGACAAAACATTTCTTAAATACTCCCTTGCCAGTCCTGTTACATTTACCTGTTTAATTATTTTCTTAATTGTAACCGTGTTTTTTTTCCCTTGCTTTGGAAATGATGCCGGTACTGGATGAATTTGGAAAAATGCTTAGGTTTGACTCAAATTGGGAATTTTGCACATTATTCATTGGGAACTTTTTTATCCATGGAGACAAAAAATATGCATAATACAATTTTACATATTAAAAGATGTCTAGGTGTGAAACACTTAAAGTACGAAATAAACCGAGTACAAAAAATAATGTTTAGGTGTGAAACACTCAAAGTACGAAATAAACTTAGTACAAAAATCAGTTTTATTTAGGGAATTGATCAGTCATGAACTGGGAAATTTGCTTCTTTTGGGAACAGCGCCGTTTTCCGGTATTAGTCATATAAGAAAAGAAAAACCCTGATTTAAAACAGACAAATTTGAAGGGAAAGGTGCACATAGAGTTTCACTTTGTCAAATTGATATTTGATGTAAAATAAACCCATGACTTTTGAATTTTTATAGCTTTTTGAAAATTTATGTTTCATGATTCACATTATTACAGATAATTGATTTTATCTACCACTCTCTTTTCAGCCATGATTGATAGTCTAGGTGGACCAAGGCGTGTTAACAACATGTTGGCAACATTGAATCTGAAAACAGTCTCTGAGACTAATTTGAAAAAGATGGAAAAGAGGGCTGGTGTTGTTTTAGAGAAAGTTTCAACAGAGTCGGCCAACGCTGCAGCTGATGAGGCATATAGACTTGAAATGGAGTGAGTTTGTGTTTGAATCTGATACATTTTTTCTTGGAAATTACAATAATTTTTTTTATTCAGGTAAACATTAGTCTGATTTTACTTTGTATTTGTTTATAGCTATATAGATCTTTTTTCTTCTTCTTAATTTAACATATTAAACTTAGTGGGATGTGTATTAATTATGGTAAATAGTTACAAAGTCTTCATATGAATTTCAATAACATCCTGTACACATTATAAGTCTGTCGCTGAGAAGGAGTCACTTGAAGTACAGGCCAGCATGAGTGGCTTGGTGGAATAATTGGGTGTCTGTCCAATGCCAGATACATCACCTGCACTGATGTATGAAAAATCTTTTTATATAAAACCAAATTATTTTAAAAAAGAAAGCATTAATTATTATTTTCAATACGTATAGATATGCCTAAAGTCGTCAACTAACTTACTTGTATATATTTTCTGCTGTGATAAATATTCAGTTATATTTATTATTATCATTATTATTTTTAGTTATTGTTAGTATATATATTTTTAATTGTTATTTTTTTTAAAAATGCAAGTTACAACACATATCAGGATTCTATGAGTCAATATTATTAAGTGATTATATATAACCACAGATTATAAGCCAGTACATGAACATGATAGTTTGATAAGAATACTCATGCCATGTCAGTTGAGTTTTCATACAAGTTTAAACATAATCACATTTTTATCCTACAATGTATAGCGCATTACAAGTTATTGTTTTTTGCATTTTTTGTGCGCACATACATGAATAAAAAGGCAATTCATGCATGATATTTCAATTAATCATTACATTTCAAGAGTGAGCACTATTTCAGTTTTTTTATAGTTTATATTTTTTTTTCAAAACATGATAACATGAATGCAAATGAAGATAATACTGATGATGAAAGTAGACCAAGTGAGGATGATGACTTGAACTGTACAGGAAATGATGTCAGTCTCTCTGTTGAGACCCCATTATCATGTAATGCTTTCAGGTACGGGCTGATTATTAAAGTAGATAGTTTCTGTATATCAAATTTGATTCATGTACAAAAAGCTTACTTCACAAAAATATTTTTTCCAATGATGGCAACTATAACAATTATGATGTATCAAAACGAAATGATACAGAATGTCAATGAAATTATATTTTAATGTTGTGTTACTGAAGCAATTTTACTACAACAGGGTTAATGCTAGACACTGTTACTTTTGCAGTCCTTATGTCATATAAACAAAAACACTGTTATATGTTTATAGTAAATTCTTTTTTATTCATAGTGTATATATTTTGATGCCGAGATGCTTCATTTAAATGCTTGCTTGGTTCAATTATAGCACACCTACAGATACCAGAAAGCCACTGCCAGTCCCAGTTCTGACTCCTCAATCTGATAGCTGAAAACATCAACAAATAAAGAAAGCAAAAGTATGACTACTTCCAAAATACCCTTGTCAGACAAGAAGTGGAATGTCTGTTGCTGTTGACACGGCCTGGCACAAGCGAGGATTTGATTCTCTTACCTGTAAGTTAATTTATTTTAGAAACTGTTTTTGTTTTTCCCTGATATTGCATACATGTATGTGCTATAGACAGAAGTGATGGCAGGGTCTTATGAGTATATGTAGTGTTAATGTAAGAAATAAATATTTTGCATCCAGTGTCTAGAGATAATACAATTTAAATACTCAGTTTTTAGCTACATATACAACAATTCATATGTTTTAGTGTTTGTTGTTTATTGTATATTTTTGTCATTTCTGACAGCTCACACTTTCTTCATGACCACTGGGAAATCCAGACAGCCAAAGAAAGTTGTTAAAACAATAGTTAGCCATCGGACCTGTGGTGGTTGTAATTGGTGGAGACGCAAAAGGCCGGGCCAGAAAGTACGTCCTCATGCATGTGTCAGAAATCATAGGGGCAGTGCAAGAGCTATGGAAGCAACAAGTGGTGTGACAGGGGTTAAGGAACTTTTAGCTGAAGGTATACCAGTGGAATACTTGGAAGGTGACGGTGACAACACCCTTATTTCTAGATTAAAAACTGATCTCGGTGTTTCAATGAAGAAACGTTTTGACAAGAATCATGTTGTAAAAAACTTTACAAAAGGTTTATATAAACTGAAAGGTGAAAAAGGTGTTAAACTTAGCAAAACTGTCATTTCTCATCTAGAAAAATGTTTGAAATATGCATTTGCAAAGAATCAAGGCGATCAAATTGGAATGGAAGAACATCCTGAAGGCTCTAGTTCCACATCAGTTTGGTGATCATAGTTTGTGTAATGCAAGGTTTTGTGGTTACAAACGGAAGCCTGTTTCCAGCTACACACATCGTAGCCTTCCATATAAAACTTCACTCCAGGACAGTAATCTCAGACAAAAATTACAACAGTTGTTTGATCCAATTATATATAATGCTGGTCACTATATAGATCTTGGTTCGAGTCAACAGTGTGAGCACGCAAACAAAGAGGTCACGCTAAGAGCACCTAAAAGTCATCACTATGGAAACTCCCGTAGTCTTGATTACCGTGTCCATGCAACAGCAGCATTCATAAATGAAGGAAGGCAGTACATTTCTATGTATGGTTTGCTGTTTTGATTCTACTTTTCTTTTTTCATTTGTTTTTAGTTTATTGATGTTTTTCAGTTTTTCCTTATATTTCAGTTACCATGTTAATATGGATCTTTTTTAAAGTTGCTGTTTTTGTCAGATCATATTACAATTATTTATTTGTTGATCATGTTGAAGTTGTTTATTTGTTATCATTTCAGAAGTTCTTGTTGTTGTTCTTTACATATACCTGTTTGTTGGACCTATTGACACAGTTAGACTTATGTGAAGTCCTGAATGTAATGTAAGTAAATAAAGTTTTCATTTAAAGTTATTCAATCTACAATCCAGATAATCTAATAAATGCATACTTAAACGATAAATTTTATAAAAGATGTACTATTATATTCTTAAATATCAGACAGGATTTTCTATTATGCACACAATGCAAGATGTACTATGATATTCATAAATATCAGACAGGATTTTCTATTATGCACACAATGCAAGAGAAACTTTTCTTCCACCACCAATGAAAGACAATTTGCTTACACATGACGTCACAATTATGAGTGAACTTTTAAGTCTTTTGTTACTATACAAAAAAAGCTGCTACTATTTTTTTAAATTTCTTTCCAAAATGAGATTTATTTGAAATATGGGAAGAAACACCACATAACTTATTGTTATCAAATGATTTAATTATTAACTTATATAAAACAGGGTTACTCAATGTTGGGCCTTTCACCTGGGACTCATACAGTTCGTCATGCAGAGAAATGTATGAAACAGCGGGGAAAAAAGAGAGAAAAAGCAAAATCCCCCTCCACCAAACTTAGACGATTGTTGTTAAAACAGGAACGGGCCACTAATCAGGGTGCAAATGAGGCTCTGGAAGGAGATACATATCAGTCTGGTAAGTTCATATGTAGAACACTTTAGAACATATTCAACATATTATAATGCATATGATGTATATATACAGAGAACATGTAGTTCACATGAATGTACACAAAAAACTTTTTGAATGCTAGCACTTTAAAGGTAGTACAAACCTAAACATATGTATAATGTATGTAGAACACCTGTGTTGCAAATGAAGACTGCATACATGGACATATGTTGAACTGAACAAATGTAGAGCACAAATATAATGCTTATTGAACACATGCTCTGTACATGTTATAAAAAAAACTCACAAAAAGATCAGAATATGTGTAGTATAAAAAATATGAAGTTTACATTATATTTTGTTTGGATCAAATACAATTTTGAATAATTTGTTGGTTTTCAGACAATGGCATTTTACATAGAGTTATACCTAAAGAGTTTATTTCATGATTTACAATGATAATTACTTGAAAACTGAATTATACAGGTATTGGTCATGCAGAAACTGTTGATGTCGAGAAAATACCTGATTCAATTCCACGGGGGAATTTCAAGCCTGCAAAATTACATGGAAAGCCAGCTATTATATCCTTTGACTTGGAAACAACTGGGCTAAGTGAGTTATCATTTTTACAATTTTCAATTTACAAATGATTTCAAGTGTTTCAAAGATCTTTATAACTAACATTATTTCATATCCTTTAGTTGGTTTAGACATATTTTTATTCAAGGTAATATATACATGTTAATAATTTACAATTTAAGCAGAAAGGAATATCCCTTTTTGATATTCAAAGACTTTGTTACTGCCTATATGGATTGTAGATGTATGCTTTATCTGAACAGCAATTCACCATACAAATAGTTATAAAATTGTGTTTATAATTATATTTTAATGTATGTTACAGTTCAAGGAGGAGTGCTTCCTCGATAACACAAATTTCTGCAGTAGAATTTGTGTCAGGGCAACAATTCAACACATATGTCAACCCAACAGTTCCCATTGATAGAACAGCCACTAGTGTTACTGAAATAGCATATTTCAAAGGCCAGATAACAGTTAATGAAACAAAGGTTCAATCTGTGAATATTAGATCAGCAGTTGATGATATGATCGCCTGGATTTCTAAATTTCAAAATGTTTGTTTAGTTGCACATAATGGACGTAGGTTCGATTTCCCAATTTTGGTTACAACGCTAACAAATCTCGGAGTTCTTGATAAGTTTTCAAAGTGTGCATTTATGGATTCTTTGTCTGTGTTTAGAAAACTTTATCCTAAGCAATCTTTGAAACAAGTTGACCTTGTATCCTCTATTCTTGGTGAAGTGTATGATGCACATAATGCCATTGAAGATGTAAAGGCACTCGGAAAGTTAATTCAGCATGTGAATCTCCCAACTAAAGACTTGATGGAACATAGTTTCAGTCCATCAGCAGTAGCCAACAACATCATGTTCAATAAGGCTAAAGCCTCAAATTTACCATCATTGAATCCTTTGCTTTATACAGGAGTAATGAAAAGACCTACTGCTGAAAACATTGCAGGATCTGGATTAAA